ATGAAATTCACAACCGACCTGAAAAGTCAGGACGATTGTCTCCGGGAAGAAACAAAATAAAGACGCTATGGAAATATATGTCGTATGATTGCCGTCGTTTACTATTACAAGCTTTGTAATTTCATCAAGAAAAAAGCTTTGGTGTTTTATACCTTTAATTGCATCTTTTTAAAAATCTGTTATACTCTTTACATAAAATTTTGTTACGTGCTAGATTTTATAGGAAAAAAAGAAACATTTGCTTTATTTTCAACTTCAATCTTTTTTTTCACACAATTTTCTGAAGAAAACTTGGCACGTTTCGTGAATAATCTTAATGCATGCGACATGCAATCTTACATAAATAAACAGGCGACAATCATAATGTAACTTATTATGTATTTAATAATCTATTATATTATCGCAAACAAATAGTCGCACATAGTACTCTCCTGATCAAAAAGGACATATCTTCATTTTATATTTCTCAATATTATAATGTGATAATCAGTATTATGTGATTTTATAAAATATATTTTATGAAACTATTTAATAATAAATAACATTATTAATTAGTTATTCTTTATATTTAAATATTTTGTAAAACAATTAATTAGTGACATGTATTAAATAATAATTTTCAAGCTTCTTGTGTAAACACGTACTTCATGATAATCTCTTTTTCTGTTCAGAGAATATTAACTATAAGTTCGAAATTCTATAACGAAAAAATAAACAAGAAAATCGAGATGTGCCGCATTTAGTTCAAGAGAGCTAACGAAATATAAAATAATTGGATCACAGTTTGCTACCTGTCCAATGCCTGTTCAATACATGTAACACTGAAGCTGCGAAGTTCTGACTTTTTGAAGATCTGAAGAGACGAAATCCTGACGTGAAATATTGAAGTCCTGATAAAACAATAATTAGAGAATTATATAACTAATATCTTTATAGCCGCTGATTGCATGCAAATCGATATATATTGCATATTCATACGATCGCATGCAAGTTAATGTCGCGAATATGAGTGAATATTAAGCAATTACCGTGAGAGATAGCAAGCAAGGGAGGAGAGAGAGAGAGAGAAAGAGAGAGAAAGAGAAAGAGAGAGAGAGAGAGAGAGAGAGAAATAATGAGATAGAGAAAGACAGAGACAGAAACAAAGAAAGAGAGAGAAGTAGAGATTGGGACAGAAGTACAGAGAAGTAAGAGAGGTTAAGACACGAAAATAGACAAAAAACAATGAATGTCAGGCGATTAAAATATAGAGCGATAAGTAATCGAGAAAGCGAAACGAGAGATGCGGCGAAAAGTTGCACGCATGACAGAGGCTCGTTGCATGTCGCGGTGGAAATATATCTACTAGTATGAAATAACTACCTTTATCCGATAATACGTCGTCGTCGCTCCTTTTGTCCACAACTAACGTCTCGCGTGAGAGTGAGCACACGACTGTATGGATTATTGCTCACCGAGCCATTCTACCTTCCGTCCTAGGTCACCTCTACGCTCGCTCAGCCCAGTGCGCCAAGGAAACAACAACGCCGCCGCCGGCCATATTGGGCTCGTTAGACGCTTTGCGCGCCAAAACACGCGTCACGCCGCTTACTTCGCGCCGGTCGCACGACCGCGAGTACATATAAGTGTGTACCACTGAATGTGTTAAGATTCGGGCGAAACGTCGCCGTTGTCGAATGTGGTATCGCGGACAGCGTCGTGTTGATCATTTTTCGTTTTTGATCAGTGAAATTATGTGATTCTCGGAAATCCCGTATTCGTGAATCGAGCCGGATCACAATCGTCATAAAAACGCGACATTCAGACCGTTACCGTTAATGGCGTCTATGTGTTCTCGGTACAGCGCCGCGATGCGAGCGAATTCGGCGTCCATTTGGTCCGGCATCGTGAACAGTGCAGGATCGGTCCCGTGCTTCATCATCGGAATCGTCGTCGAACGAAGGACGATGAGGAGATGGAGAAGGAAGCAACAGTAGCGCAGTGTCAACGTCGAGGTAAGATAACACCAAATACAGTATTTATCGATAGACTCATCGTGTCGCTTGGTCGTGCCGCAAGTGCCGGTTACGGTGAGAGGGGTTAGGGGGAAGGGAGGGGGGGAGATGAAGACCGAGAAAGAGAGAAATATCGGGAGATTGCGCAAACATTTGCGTGCCCCCGGCACGTCGACGGGCACGCGAGCGAACTGCCGGGGTAGCCAAACACGATGAGTGAAATTATGCGCAAACATCTCGTACGACAACACGAGGACGCGTCTAAACGCTCGAGCGAAAGAGTGAGAGTTACCGTTACGCGAAGTATCAATATGCATAAGGGCCCGAAGCTTCTGGCGGTGGCTATAGCGGCAGAGAGGTGGCGCTTTCGCCGCCAAGCCACCCTGTAGACAGACGTAACGAGTCATGAATTATGAATCGCATTCGTCGAAGAACGCCGCCGTGTTTTCCGTTCCTGTTCGACGGCGGCGATCCTCGCCACTGCCGACGACGACGACGGCGCGGTATCGAGAATTAACGAATGTCTCGACGCGATTATTAACGCGCAAATATTTCATGACGAAAGGTATAATTAAAGGCCGCTCACCGATTCAAGCCTGGCTTCTCGAGCAGGTTCCTTCGTTGGGGTTCGCCGTTCCAGTTTTCCTTCGGTCATGCTTTATATTCTTAGACAACGGAGACTTGGAATATTTACCGTGTCGGGTGTTATCGGTATCGCGATATCACGACGTGATTGAACACGGCGTAGAAATTGAAAGTTATCATATATATATGCGAGAAGTGATTCAAGGATAATGGGGGGATAATTATATAATTATATTTATATTAAAATAATTTTGCTGTTGCAACGTGAGAATACCACAGAACATAGGAAGAATAACACACACTATATATTATTTTTTACATACGGAAATACTGCGGGATTTTTTCGGGACATTGTTATCTGTATCATTACTTTCGCTATTCCACCAATATGTTTTTAACGACCGCGAGTATATTTTCTCTTTTTATTGGGAAAGATATGTGATACATTTTTTTATTAAAACGAACAATTGTTTTCATAATGATCGGGTGGATAATTTTAATACGCAGGCACTTATAATTATTAGCTTTATTAATTGAACTACTGCGGATTTTCTAGAATTGTGCTAATTAGAGCTCTTTTCTCTGTAATGGAAATATACGCAGCATATGAAACGTATATTTTAAAATTGTACGAGTCTCTCATATGATGTTTCACTATGAAGTTATGCGGAACGAGAAAATATGTGGGACGCTATATAGGACGCTATGTAAAAACGTACGCTAGTAGAAAAGTTGTCCGATACTTTCTTCGGCCCTTTAGATTCGAATCACTATCATTATATCTTCAGCAAATGCATATTTAGACGCGTCGTTAATGCCCCTACGTAAATATACGTTAATGCATCGCAACGATGTAATATCATTCCCCGGTTTTAATATTTAATGTGCTTTAATTGTCGACGAATGCATTTTAGCGGAGTGCGTCGTAACATTTTTGTTAAACTCGATCGTGATTTAAAATATTCTCTTGAAAATTTCCATTAACGCATTCTCTTCTCTTGGTATATAAAAACAAGATATATGTTTAAGGACAAACGCAACTGTAAAATTAAATACAACGGAGACGAATTACAAATTATCGGGTTCTCTTTTCGCAAAATGTGATATTGATTTTTTACATATTAAAAAAATATCACAGCATTTTTGTAGTTTATTTTCTATGAATTATATATCATGCATCTTTAACATGCACTCGAAAATACATTTTTTTGTTCATGTATATATGCACAAACATTTATTTAAATTTATCCCGCGATTTGTTATTGTATCCTTATTCATTGTTGGTAAATTTTTAACGTATAAAATTGATTCATTATATTTGCTTTAAATAATTTCAAAGTTTTCTTTAAGTCTTAATATTTGTAGATATCTTTATCAATCCTTTCATAATTCAACACCTCAATTTATTTAAATATCGAATGACGCTGTTCTGTATCAGTAGGCAATTTTTATATTTTTATCAATAAATTTCTAGCTTTGTACCAGTAGCCAATAAAAGAGGTATCTTCCCTACCAATACAAAACTCGGCAAGTTATTGTATAAAAAATTATATACGAAATATTGAAATAAGTTATTAATTTAATATTAATATAAAAAATTAGGTGTTGATAATTAGGTTTGAACTATAAATTTAATTGAGAAATATGTACGTATCGATTTGTCATGTTACTCCAATCATTTGCCAAAATATTACTTTATTTTGAAAATTGTAACTGGATACATTTAGCTATCAATCCATTTCATCTCTCAAATCATGTTTTGAAAAATCTTAATCAGTATTATTAATTCACAATATTTAAAGTATTTAAAGAAATATCCTATAATATAGAAGACAATTAGCAGATGTATGAGACTAAAATTTTCAATAGGAAAATTAATAACAGTTCAAGTTCCGTATTATCCGCAATAAAATCCAAGATTCGAACGTCATTAATTAATTAAAGCACCATGTATTCTAACTACTATTGCAACCTATGGTGTAAGAAAGGAATTAAAATATTCGCGAATTATCGACAACAGTTAAATCTCGTTGGTAAAGTTGGCCAGTATTGATTCGAATGTCCTGCGTTATCAACCTCCACATTGCATTCGCGTGCATCCTCGGGTCAATTTCGTCCAGAGGACGCCTAACGTCGTCACCCACGATCGCGGACGCAGGAGCATAATCATCGTCCGGGTTGCCATCCGGCAGGAGTTCAGTCGGTGCCGGTCCCGGAAGCCGTTCACGTCTGGACATTCTGCGGGACGCAAATCTAAGATGGCAATAGACATGTACATTTGATAGGGCGGTCCATTCGATAAGGGAGACAGCCGATTTCGGTTTAGCGTAACGTGCGATAATGAGCAAGTGAAAAGGAAGGAGAGAGGTGAGAGAGAGAGAGAGAGAGAGAGAAAGAGAGAGAGAGAGAGAGAGAGAGAGAGAGAGAGAGAGAGAGAGAGAGAGAGAGAGAGAGAGAAAGAACGCGTGAAAGAGTGTGTGAAAGAGAGCGAAGGTCGCGATGAACGGATAGGTGCAACATCATCAATCGCGCATCATTCGAGCGGGAGGGAAGGGTGCGTGTGCGATACTACTCTTTTTCCGGCACGCGTAATCGTCGAGAGACAGCACGGATCGAGAGTGGCGGACTACTAGTCGTGCTGTGACGGAAGTTGGGCACTCTCTCGACGGCATGTCGCCGTGACGAATCGCAACGGCAGATAAAGGTAAGCGATTAACGTTAAGCCTTTGCTCAGCAGGCCGTTCGTCGGCAACCTTACCGTAGTTTCGGGTCTCTTATATTTGCCACGCTTACAAGCAGAGGAGAATGGCAAGTTTCGGCTTCCTAGAAGGTTAAGGATTCTTTTTTCGCGGAGCGGGTAAAGATACAGTGTGTGCACGCGCGTGTATGTGTGTGTGTGTGTGTGTGTGTGTGTGTGTGTGTGTGTGTGTGTGTGGCAAAGTAGATCGTATCTTTAACAAAAATAAATGTGACGATATAAAATTATATTTTTAATGCTGACAGTAAATATCGTGAAATCGTTTCTCTTTTCGTTGTCGAAAAGTCAAAGTGCTCCGCGATAGTGCATTGAATTAATTGATCAGTTTAGAGTGCTCAAAAAATAATGTAATCTTGAATTGATAATATTGATTGAGGGTAAAATGTAATAAAGAAGATACGTAGGATTGGTCGGGAATGGCAAAAGAGCGCGATAGAGTGTAAAAGAAGTTGCGAACGGAACGTTGGATTGTGCTCAAGGCCAGAAAGAAAGGGTATCGTGGAGAGTTCGCGTATCGAACGGCGGAGACGCTGAAAGAGATGAGAGAATGAAAAGTTTGAAGAGTCGGTGAAAGGTGGTTTCAGTTGATTTTAACTTCCGGTATGAATATCTGGGAAGCGAGAAGAATGTTTTCTTCGATAAGCTCCGCGAACAATGGATCCTTACGCATCGGAATGACTGGTAGCTCTTATCTCCGAGAGAGGCGAGAAAACGTTCGAGATAAATCGCTGAAACTGAAATTGCTCGCAACAAATACGTGTGTCGGAAATCGTCTCGAGTAGAACGTGATCATATGAAGGCTGTAAGAAAAATTAATTGGTTACATGCCTTTATTCGCATCGAAGATTTAAGTAGGACCCCATTCCCGCGAGTCTCCACGTCGGCACGTTCTTAAGTTACTAAATATTCGAAGAAGCATCGTAAGAATGTTCGAAAGCATCGAAACTTGCAGCGATAAAAGAAAGATATGCATGCTTATACACGTATATACATATATGTATAGATATCTCGCGTCCATATTTTTATATGTCAAGCTTACACATTCGATGACGAAGCATTCATTCTGCGATAAACTGATCACATCGCGTTTTCTAATTTGTGTGAAAGCGCATAATATGCAATGTGCGGGACGATGACGGGTGTTTTGCATAAGAATGGACGATATTCCGCCGGAAGATCGTTCATTATGAGCTCGCCGGAACGGGACACAGGGAATTTTCGCGAGTGTTGTTTACAACCTCCAACGTTTAACTGCTGCCTTTCGCGTTATACCGGGTCGCGGAGTTCCGCCGCGCCGATGCCCAGAAAAGGAAGGGTTGAAGGGGATCAGCATAAATTTCATGATTTATTGATCCTTGCAAGGTGCCCGGTATTATCAAGTCAAATTCAGCGACGTGTCGGCTTTGTCCCGTCTGATCTATCAGTCACGACTATTAAGTCACTCGCGTCTGTTATCTCGCAGATTTCGGGATTCTTAATATTTCCTCCCTCCTTTCTCCTTCTCCCCTACCAGCTCCTCGCGGAAGCATTTAGTTGCGAGTGAGAATCCAATTAATTTTCCCGATGGCGAAGTATCGACGTACATCTTGGTACTTTCGTTCGGACAGGATCCGCTGATTCCTCGCATCGATAACGATGCAAATGCATGTTGATAATTCCGCGAGAAATTACACAGTTAATCGAGAGGGGAAGGCATATTGAGAAATGTAAAAAGAGTGTATAATCGCAACGTGTGTTTATATTTTGTAATTGTTGTAAACGCAAGTAATGTACGCTTTAAAAATGCCGCGACACATCTTAAAATAAGAAGGATATTAAATTCAAGATGGGATACGTAAGCAGCTGCTCACATATGTCAGTGATTTGAAGGGTCGATAAGCTCGGGGCGCCGCGAGAGTTACACTTCACATTTTCGACGTTTGCTCCCTTCAATTTCAGCTCGTGACCATAACGTAAATTAAAGCGACTGGTCGTTCGGTAGCACGAAAAGTTTCGCGCTGTGCGTGCGGCAGGCGACGCGTCGCAGGGAGGAAATTGTCGGATTCAGCCGGAAATTGCGAAATTCCCGATAACAGCGATCCGGCGTTCGATCGCGACGGCTATTCCTGCGTATGCCGTTCCTTGTCGCGGCTCGCCTTTCCTTCTTCGCCGGAAGCACGCATTCGCGTTCTCGCGGAGGATTGCGCCGTCTCTCGATACGTCGTCGAACGGTTTAATGAAGGCCCCGTCGATGCCTTTCACGAAGAGGTATCGAGTCCTCTCGGAGAGCGAGCGAACGTCTCTTATCGGCGCGCTACGGACGCAGCGAGATCACGGCGAGCAGGATTGGAAAATCCTCTTCACGGAGATAAGTCGAGAAGGAAGGAGGACCCTCGGGTCGCGTTCGTTCGCCTTATAGCGCATAACTGCCTTTTTGATAAGGTTGCTGAGGTCTGGGTATTCTCGCAGCACATTCGAGCGCCGCGAAGACCTGACCCTTCTTTCTCTTTTGCTTTCATTCTGTACTCTCCTTATTTTTTCGTTATTTTTCTATAAACGTGACCGCGTGACGGAAAATGTTGAGTCGAGATTTATAGCAACCACGGTTAATATCATAATTGAAAGTCGACGCGTCATCAGTTTGTTAAGGAAATTGAGAAAGATCGATTGTTTAAGGATTTTTCATTGATATTCGGGAAACATCAATTGGAATATCGAAAATTGCTTATCGATCGGCAATGAATATGAGAGGAAAAGTTATCGGGCTTAACCGTGGTTTAGTATTTACCAATCGCTTCGCAATAGTTGGGTAGAATCGACCGTTCCGTGTAGAAAAGCTTTTAAAACGTAGTCACTGTAATGGCGAACGGAAGAAGAGCAGGTGATTGAGGATATACATCAGCGACCGCCGATCATAAAACGAGTCGTTTGTATGCACCCTCTTTTTTTATTACATGTTCCACGGTCGTTGAATCCCTCTCATACGACATCGGGTTTTTATCTAAGAACCCGTGTCTACCGTACGTAGAAACTCGGGCAACCTGGAATTCTCGCAGAATTTTTATCCTTCTCGTCTAAGTAGATACTTCGCTGCCTCTTGCTTTTTCGTGACGGTCGAAAAGCTTGGCATTCCGAATGAGAGGTTCGTGTGTACGATATCTCGTTTTATTCTTCAAATAGTTGAAAAGACATACATAAGTTCCGAAACGAAGCGTCCCGTGGTATTTGGAAGATGTAGATATATATATGTGAATTATTTAAAAATATATATCTTTCCTTTATGGACGTACAACACTATATGCAGCATGCATATTGAGTCACGTAAACATATATAAATAAAAGAGAAGTATATTTTAATCTTCAGAGTGCAGAGAGAAAGCACTTTTGCTCATTCTCTCTCTCTCTCTCTCTCTCTCTCTCTCCTCTCTCTCTCTCTCTCTCCTCTCTCTCTCTCTCTCTCTCTCTCTCTCTCTCTCTCTCTCTCTCTCTCCTTTTCTCTCCCCTTCCCTCTCTTTTATTCGGGCGGTAGGAAGATATGTAAATTATTTAAAAGCGCAATTCACTCGCGTATAATTTCGCAAATTAGTAAGGAGCTATTGTGTGCGGTCTGCCAATGTAAAAAAACCAGCAGAGAAATCCGTTGCGTGAACGAGAATACCTGGTACAAATGTATTTCTCGAAATTTTTGTGTGGCGGAAAATGTTAATGCAACAGAAATTCCAACGCGCTCTTCGTAATGCACGTACAGTGCAAAGGCAGAAATAGAGAGAGAGAGAGAGGGGGGGGGAGAGAGAGAGAGAGAGAGAGAGAGAGAGAGAGAGAGAGAGAGAGAAATTGAGATTGAATAGGGTGTTATGAATTAGTAAAGGTGCATGTTACATACCCCTTTTGGAAGATACAAAAACGGCCCTAAGTAATTATTAATAAAAGACTCGCTTCAGCGAGCTTTCGCGAGTGACAAAAACACACGGTCGAATTGCTGAAAAAGATTTTAACTAAAAACACTACGCTGTAGCTTGCGGAGGAATCTCTCTTTTGAGAGAGGAAGAGTGCGTCATGATTATTCATTTGCGTGTAATATAGTAAACTACTCGCACGACTTGATGTTCAATGCAGCTCGTTACGCAAGAACGGCTCCAGCGCGTCGTACGTACGTATATATGGCGATAGTGTTCCAATAAGTTTTCGTCGCGAAATTGAAATCCAACACGCTGGCGAGAGTGGTAAACTCGTTATTTATTCGTCCGGACGTGCCGTAACAGCGTTGAAACTTTCGGTCGAAATGGCCCGCTATATCGTCGATCGTTTAGCGTGCGGAAAAGTGCACGAGCGTGTGCGTGCACTGCACGGCCCTATCGTTCGTTTTCCTCGTGACCAAAACTTAGCAGCGCCCGGCATCGCGTCGCGTTTATCCTTTAATTCACGTTCCAGTGTTCGTCCTGTTCGTTTACCGAGGCAGCTGTTTGTGCAATTTCGATTTTACGGTTCATTTTTCCTCGTGAAAAACGCCCCCGGATTATCATAAAATATTGTACGCGGAATATTGTATCACGGAAACACTATAATATATTTTTATAAAATCATATTTAACATATGTATATACATGTGTAATTATGTCAACTTTATATCATAACATTTTGTCATATATCTAGTATTTTTACACTTTATAACTCCATAGTTCTCGATATTTTTATCACGATGTACTCTTCGGTAAGAAAATTCAATTTTCATTAAAACGCGACGTTTTAACGTGTTTTGGAATATAATTCCGCGATATTGGATTTTCCGATCTGGCATGGAGAAACAATTTTTACACTGTGTTTTGTACCACATACGAGCACCGAGGGTGTTTGCGGATCATCAGCGAGAGAAATAAGGGTGAGCATAGTCACAGAATATTTGAAGTAACGTCAGAAACGAGCGATATTTGGTCGTCAGTAAGTCTGCGAGAGTAGACGTTTTGTCATAGAGAGAAAAAGAGAGAAAAAGACGCGAGAGAAAGTGTAGAAACAAGCTCCATGTAAAAAAGACAAAAATGGGAAGGGAGAATGAAGCTCTCGTCTCGTCGCGGTGATCCTTCCCGGGCTTGATTTTCTTTGCCTTCGCATGGAACTCGAGGATCGCGTTGCAGAGGAAAAAGCGCGGAATCACGCGCCTCCGTTTTATCTTATTAACAGATTCGTCTCGATTCTTCCTCCGCGCGCGAACACGACGGTGCACGTGACCGGCATAGCATTTGGACGTTGCACGTGCGATGCGTGAGCGTTCCTTTTCCGAATGCATCGTCGATGCTGGGACTCGCCAAAAGTTTCCATCGCCGGTGCATTGCGAGAGGCGCCACAGTGATGCGTGCGTAAATTCGATCCGATCTGAAAATAGAAGGCAGCACAAAGCCACGCGAAATTCGAAAACGCGAACGAGATTCCATTCTCCCCCTTCGTCAGCATGTAATGTATCTCGCTGGCGGATGAATGAGTATCGAATTTGCGTCGGCTTTAAACCAAAGTTACAGACGGTCGAGAGAGAAAGAGAACCCGGCCATCGTTTTTGCCGAGAAAGCTCGTGATCCTTCAAAGGACTGTCCTTCCCTGTCGGCCGACAAAACGGCCGACGCGTGTTCACGCGCGAAGGATAATTCCGAACGTCGAAACAAAGCGACAAGACGTGGGATAAGTGTAACTCTCGTCGCGCAGGGACGCTTTTTGAGTCGTGTCCACGACGAAATACGGTAAATCTTTCGGAAAGAAACCTATAAGAAAATTGGACCGCGTCCGATGACGCGCGATAAATCTTCATTCCGTGGAATGCGACATTATTGGGTTTCCCCTATGGCAGACGGTTAAATGACTCCCTCCGGGCTACCAGTGTATCGTCACGCCGCGAGATTACGCGAAACGATCCCAGCCCGAATAGATACCCATATTTTGAACCATAAAGATAAAAAGATAAAATAACTTTGCAAAAAACTACTTTTCCACGTTCGATTTGATAGGTATACTCGTAACGTCTTTATAGCTGAAATATTTAAGAGGGAAGGTATCAGGATAGACATGCATATACCTTTTTTTATTAAAGGGTACATTAAATTGAGATCAAAACTCGTCTGTTTGCAGCGGATAATATTTCAATATTTTAAACCTACACCGTAACCTTTTTAATTCGGTCAAATTATATGAAACACAAAGCAATACAAGCAACGCAACAAAATAAAATTGAATAAGTACAACTGTATTAATATTAAATACACAAAAGTACATAATAATTCTACATCCTCCAACGTCAAATGCATGCAATGCTTTTTTGTTTTATGCGTTCGCAATTTACACAACTCAGTGCCGTGTAATCGACCTTGCTCGTACAATTTCATTTTTTCGCAATCACGAAACAATCGCTATTTTATACCGCGTAGTCGGTATCTCATTTACCTTTTTGCGACAGGCACTATATACCAATTCGCAACAAGGACCGTGTTCGCGCGGGAATAAAAAGAACTGTTTCACGAGTGAGTCGAGACACACGTACATATATATATATATACTTATTTTACGTACACGAGAAAGAACGAGCGAGAAAGGACACGGCGAGCTTGACGTAGCGAGTCCTTGCAAGATAACGAAATAGTTTGCAATTGGGTTTCAGGTGGGAGCGACAGAAGCAGCATCTTATTCTAAAGGACAGAAGGAGAAGGAGAAGGAAATATGGGAAAAGGGGACAAGAAAGGCATCGCGCAGCGCAGTGATGGTGAGTGTTTTATCAACAGTTTCTAGAGTCGGGCGCGTAGTGACGGAGTAACGTGGTATGTGATACACCCCACAGAGATTAAGTATCCTCGCTACCTGCGGTGTTATTACATCGGCGGATATCCCAAGTTATCTCTCACAGATGAGGGAGAGAATTACATCGATAAAAAGTCGAGAGAAAATTCCGACGTTTCGGGAAAGAAACATGCAATATCTCGGAGATATCAGCGTGTCGAATATCGCGAATAGAAATATCGCGTAGACTTTTGGATTCTTCGTGTGTAAAGTCGAGACGATAGCGAGTGAAAGCACCTGGGAAGATCATTTAAAATGGCGGGCTTAGCCGCGAATCTCCGATGTGGGGGTGACACGACCACGTTTCGTTTATTCGCAGCGTCGTTTCTCTATTTTTGTAACGTTACACGTCCTGTGCTAATCCTCGACTCGTAATTTCCGTTTCCGAGTCTTGCGTATCTGACGTTCCAGCCATTATGCGAGCTTAGCAATTACGTTTGTATATTTCGCGATTATCCTCGTACGCAGTCCATAAATCGGGCGACTTTAAAAGGAAAATTTAAACCGAGATATCTCACGACTATCTCTCATATCGTCGTCTCGTATAAACGCCACAATTTCCCTCATGCAGCGTCTCCGGAGCTAATGTTACCGCCCGAAGAGATCACCAAGGTGTACGTACTTTGCCCGCGAGCGGTATGCATTTTTCACGTATCGAGCATCTTGCTCGATACGTGAAAAAAAGCGAGAGATTTGCGCGTCGCACTTGAGAGCGATACGGACTTTCTTCCTCTATCACTGAAAATCATTTGCTCGATCGCTATTCCCGACGCTACTCTCGACGCACATATACAGGCACACACAACATACGCGATTCACGCTCAAAATCGCGATCAAAGGAAGCCCGCAAACCGGAAACGCGCTTGCCACGCACGCAGAACAACCAAAACGCGCCCGCCCGTCGATCGGGCGGTAAAAGGTGACGTTGAACGATCGGAATTTCGATACGCGAATATCGAGGCTCGTACGTTATCGACGTTATCTCGACGGGGAAAGAGTAGCGCACCTACCTTACCCTACCTACCTTCTGTGTGTGTGCGCGCGTGTACGACGAAGGAATCGAATCGAAGGAGAAACAAGACGGGGAGACCGCACTGTGTGTGTTTGCGCTTCCACCCTTATTTCCCACTTCCACTTCCTCGATACGACAACGACGACGACGGCGACGGCGACGGCGACGGCGATGACGATGACGACGACGACGACGACGACGACGACTGCCATGTCGTCGCCACTGTTGCCTGTCGCTGTTTGGCCTTTGTATATTTGTGACTACTCGTAGAATACCTCGATACCACGCGAGTGCTTGCCCTCTCGACTATGCACACACTCGCTAGTATTGTTGCATCCAGGATTTTCGGTGCAATCACGTTTCCACTTCAGTCTTGTTTATTCTCCGATTTCGCGGAGCTCGCGTAACCGTACGTTAAGAAAATTTAGCGAAACGGAACTTGAGATAAAATCAATACGCACGTATCGCGAGAATATTTGTAGGTCGCCGATGCTCGATTGCCTCGCGTGGAGTTAATCTTGGAGTCATTGGTTAATTGTGGACGGGACAAGGACAAAATTGACATTGAATTCTAATAGCTTACGTAGAAGTGACAAAGAAATAATGAGTGAATTATGAATCGAGACGATATAATAGTCAGAGGAGGAAATTTTTCACCGTAAGCTACTTTGTATACTGAGGATACAAATGGAAAGCACCGAAACGTTGAAGTATACTCACGCGAAATCACGCGAATAGTCGCAACTGCAAACGTCCGCGAACGATGATACATGGCGGATTTCGACGCAGTTTTACATGCGAGAGAATCTGGTTCTGGTACGCTTTCCGGCACCGCTCGCCGTTCGATTTCGTCCGTATTCTACGGGCGGAAATGGTGACGGCGATGATGCATCCCTTTTCATCCGCAAATATGACGGTACCATTCGTAAGAGCTGAAATCCAAAACGAGACGGCGTATTATCTTAGCTAAAGCAACATTACAGTCTCGCCCGGAAATGCCAGACGAGCCATAATCGAGCGGATGAATTATCTGCAACAATTCATGCATCGAAATTTACGCGAATATTTCACACACGCGAGTACCATATACTTACGTACAACTAATGTCGAATCCTTTCGTTCTTTTTCCTATCGAAAAAATACGAAATAATAGTTATCTTTCGGCAGTTCTTTGGCGTTAGAATACAAAAGAAGCGATTTAACTGCGATCGCTTTTACGAACAACGCGCAATCCGAGATTCCAATCGCGAGCAAGAAAACCGTTCGGAACGACGTGTTAGGTGGCTCTTTTAGCGGGACAATACGAGCGGTTCAACAAAAGCAACATGCCGACACAAAGGTGGCCACGTATACACGCGGCCGGCCGTTTGTCACTTCAGGTGCACGCTTCCCCGGAGTGTACCGTGCGAGTTATCTATTTGCACGCGGATGCAGCGGACCGACAGAACCCGCTCGCTCGTTGCTCGCTAAGTTGAGACAAGAAGATGGAGACGAGGTCGCGAAAAGAAAAGGAAATAGAAGGCTCCCTCTCTCTCTCTCTCTCTCTCTCTGGCTCTGTCGCCGTGTGAGCCCCATTCAGCGAATAAAATACACGCGCCTTCGCTCGCGTTGCTCAATTCGTATTTTCTCTTCCGTCGTCGCGCGACACACACAATAATCTTACGTGATCAAATTGAGATTTTTCTAGAATATATTTCACTAAATATACGACAATAAATGTTTTATTTAAACGCACTTGCGTAAAACGTAAAAATCGCAGTTACATTTATTTTGTGATTTTTCTTACCGCGGCAATTTTATTTAAGAGAGATATCCGCCGCGCGAATCTTTCCGGCGAAAGCTCAATGGGAGCGCGGCAAGTCGTATTGAGGAGGAGAATCGAGTTTTATGAATTGCATTACGTCGTCGCGCGTCGTACAAAGCGGCGAGACTCAAGGCGCGAAAAGGGCAGGCGAATCGCGCGCGAGAATACGAAGATAGCGCGGACGGAAAGTGCATCTCGGATGCGTATCGAGACGGACTCGTACAGAAAGACAATAGCTTCAGGGATCCTGGAGGATACTGAATGCACCTGTCGTCGGCGCGCCGTCGGCTGCGATCTCGTCGACGACGGTCTGTTATCGTGGTGGTTTACGCGTACGTGCGTGGAACACTCGCAGCACTCAAGATCTCGCTCTTTCTCGTGCGAGAGAGAAAGATGATTCATGCCATGTATAGACATAGCATTTCCTATCTTTATTTATTGTATGTTTGATGTACGACGAGCACTTTTGTGTCTTTCCGATAGAGATATTCATGTCAAAGTCTTAAGCCGCGGTAACAATTTATCGAACAACTCGTATCTCTTTTTCTTTCTTATTTTTTATTTTTTTATCGAACGTTCTTGCAATTTCAATTTCAATATTTATCAAGTGATAACGTTATGACTAAAAAATTGAAAAAATGATGAACGAAAGAAGGCGACGTCGTGAATGAAGGATCGATTTTGTCCAAAATAAAGTTGATATAATTTTCTTAGATTTATAAATATTGTTTTAAAATGAAATACGCGATTGAGTATCACATGATATAAATCTTATAAAATACCAGGAAACGTTCAGCAGAGTTATTTACGTTTATACTTACGCTTTTGAATCTTAATGCGTTATATTTTATGATCGATGTCACATAAATCGCTGCTCTTTAACATCTGAATATTGATGAAGGTGATATGATACACAAAGGAAAGGACAAACTCTGAATAGAAATAATACCGGTCCGCCTTGACCGCGTTGTTCGAGTGATTAGATGCGCCATCGTAATTAGCATAATTCGCGGACGAGTGCTAGTGGAAGTTCCCCGATGAAAGGCTTGATACGGTAACGCGACCTTAAAATCCAGGCAATCTCTGTCTTTACGCGCAAAATTTAGTCGTTAACGCGATTAATGAAATTCTACGTCAGAGTGAAATGCGCCGTAAAGTTGTCCAGGCCGTAAAAGTTGTCTAGGCGGAAAGTTCTTAATATAACAATCGACGCGAAATTATAATATTAAAACGTTTCGTTAGAACGTCTGACGTCGCGTCGCGATCGAATTTAATTCCGCGTTCGGCAAAAGCGATCGTCGGAGATCAACCCCTCGGCAAGTGCACGTCCGAATGCGAAAGTGACATTTCCAATTTCGTCGCGGTAACTCGCCATGGCAGTCGAATGCGCCCGCGATTGCGACTAGCACGACACGCGACGCATTACGCAAAGTGGTTGGCTCGCGTCAATAGTCCACTATTTGCTTTTGCCTTAGCGCGTGTCGAGACGCGAGGTGACGACTTCAGCCTCACAATGCGACTGATTGGACTGACGTTTGCGAGCTCTTAAGCGTTGAATGGCCTCGTTATCGGTCGCGGCGGATAAGGGCGAAAAATGCGAGCCGCCGCGAGAAAGAGAGGCGAGAGGGCCGCAGATAAACGCGACGCGACGAGCGGAAGTTTGGTCGTCGTTGAACGTTGTCGGCGATTATCGCGCGAATGCGCGAGTTACCGACGTGGAATCCCTCTCGCTGAGAGGAGACGCGCCATTCTCTTTGGAACTTCCGGCCGACGCGCATAGACTTGCGAACGAGCGTCATCGGCGAAAAATCGCCGTCGCGTTTCCTCGCGGAAAAATTTCTCGAGCGCTCGCCGTACTCGAACGCTTTAACTTTTAATATCGGATATCTCCTATGATTACGCGACACAAACTCACCGTCTCGTTCGATACGAAAGAAATTATAGATGTCATTGTTCTAAATTTCCCGCGCTGCGGCGTGCAGGTGCGAAAGTGAGCGCACCGTGTCGATGCGTCAATGTCATAGCGAGTTATCGAAAATTGATCAAGCTTTACATCCGTAACGAAGTTTGATCGTAGCGCGGGGGCGAGAAAACGCGGACAGGTGTTCTCTGGGGTTATACAAGTCCGCATAACTTTATTGCTCTTTGTTTTTCTCTCCCTCTCTATCTCCTTCTCTTTCTTTCTCTCTCTTTCTCTCTCTCTCTCTCTCTCTCTCTCTCTCTCTCTCTCTCTCTCTCTCTCTTTCTATCTCTTCTCTCTGCCTACGTTACATACATAAATATTCGTCGTTGCGTTACAGCGTATTAAAGTCTACCTTCTATATCACATATGATAAAAGCTGCAAAAAAGTATAACTCGACGCGTACGTACAAAAAAGAAAGCGTTTTACATTAATTAAACACGTGCTCACTTCGACACGACGCATTTAAATGTGCGATTAGTCGTACCGTGTGTCCGTGAGTGACGTCATGTTCTTCTTCGTTTCCTTTTTTTTTCCTTTTTATATATATATATATATATCTTTTTGTTAATAACTATACGCGAGGCAGTGCCAGAGTTGTTGGCTACCAATCGTAATTATTCAATTATCGATCCACGAGACATGTTATCGGTTTCAGAGATATTACTTGAGACAAATACTGCTTGCTACGCACTCTGAAAGTTGAAACTCTTAAATATCTCTTAAACTACGTTATTAATTACGCACTAAGCGTCCATCTAACACGCGCTATCGTTGAGACAAGCGGATAGAAAAATATTATTTTAGTTCGCGATTTTATTATAGTGAAATAATTATCTTATCTCTAGATACATAATACGTTATCTTATATATGTAAAATACATGCGATTCTCCTGTTACATGATACGTGATGCTACACGGTTATTCGGCGCGTCGAAAATAATTCAACATATGAAATTTATTTGGTTAGTCGTAATCTTCGCCCTTTGCTCTCGGATTGTTCTCCTTCGGGACGTATTCGTACGAGAGATCGTTTCAATTGAGAAATTACAAGTAATTATGTCGCTGCATGTGAACGTTCACTCGTATTATTAGGCGCGCTTTATTTCACTCGATTCGGTCGTTCTCTGTCAACTTATGCTCAGGCCGAGCAACGTGAAAGATAAAGCGATGCCATTGTTTCCATAAACCCGTATGATTTACGGCTCTCGCGCCGTAAAAATGATCTCCACATCGCGCGTATATTTTTCTATAATTTCTCCCGTTGATCTTTTTCTAGTTTATTAAAAACTAACGTCAATATATATCGTGGCTAGCAACAGTATCAAAATCGCTCGTTCCGCAAACATCCGTAGTCTGCTTACCGAGCTCTCCCATCCAGCGACACAAATATTTGTACGGAGCTGAGGCAGAAGTCACATACACACAACACGCGCACGAATTGATTCGCAGTAACACGAAACTTTCTGTGCGATCTTTCGTCAGTGTCGGAGACAATGTCGGAGACAGTGTCGTCAGTGTACGGCGAAGATCTGTTTATCTATCTATCGCATATACATCATACATACAGACACACGCTCTCTCTCTCTCTCTCTCTCTCTCTCTCTCTCTCTCTCTCTCTCTCTCTCTCTCTCTCTCTCTCTCTCTCTCTCTCTCTCTCTCTTCGTCTCTTGCGAGGCAAAGGGCTAATCTTACATATCATGGGTTCTCTGCGGCGGCGTAGAACTTCATGACTTCCTGTCTGGCAGCTTCCGTGACGGAACGCCTGCACGGGTTAGAGTCCCAATTAACTCCAGGACAGCCCATTGATTCGAAACAGTTGGTGAGACGATTGTTGTTGCGCGAGCAACACTGAACTACCGCCCAGATGCACGGTCCAGGACTCTGGACGGGTGGTCTCGTAGTTGGTGGCGCAGGGAAACTCGCAGCTTGCACACCCTCACGATTCGGACTGATACCCTGAAAATAGTTGGTCCGATTAGAAAGTCCGCGATTTTCGCGGTTTGAAACACAAACGATCGTAAGAAGATCGCAATAGGAAATACTCGAGTTATGTTTAGAATGTCATCGAGGTACGAATTCGACGCGTAGGAAGTGTCACGAGGAATCACAGAGATAACTCTCCGCAAATTTTGCGTATAAATTTTATACGAAAACGTTATTTTACGTCGCATTTGGCGCACGTGTCGCCTCTCTCCCCCCCCCCCTCCCCTCCTGTCTTTCTCTCGTGAGACCTCTCCTACGATTATTTATATCATCACTTTCAGCGAAAATATCGCGAGGAGATGACGAAGAGAGAGAGAGAGAGAGAGAGAGAGAGAGAGAGAGAGAGAGAGAGAGAGAGAGAGAGAGACAGGGAGGAGGTAGCGACGGCGCTGCTCAGCGCTCGGTCAATTAAGCGGAACAAAGCGGCGCGGTCGGGGTCGAGAGGTCGATGGGGCGCGCAGCCCCTCCGTGCGGAAAGCCGCCGCAACTTTCACCGCGATGTTAACGAAGCATGCACGGTTCGGTAGCGCGAGACAATCGGCCAGCTCGCGGATCGGATTCGCCGTGAACAAACCGTCGATGGATAGCCGGCGGTGAGAGCTCGGACTGCCGGCTAGAGTGAGACCAAGTGTTTTGACAGACAAATGAAGGACTCACCGCGAACTCGATCTCGTTCTCGAAGCTACCCCTCGATAGCAGCGACGGTGAACTGGAGCCGCCCGCGCCGGGGCGAACTATTATCCTTGCGCTCACCGGCAATGCGTGTAGCCTAGCTATCTCCTGTTGTCTCCGCTGATCAGTCATCTGCTGTATCCTGCGATGTAAATTGGAAGGCTTGTTTCGTCATTTATTCTCATTTCATGAGCAGCGAAAGTTGATAGGAGCAGGTAGAGGCGTAGTGAACTCTTTTGCCGTCGACACGCTAAGGGTCTCTTTGATCATGCTCGCGCGTGGTCTCTCACGCGGTCGACATGGCTGCTGTCGGCTTGAGATTTCACGCGAATGGCGAAATATCTCATACTCCGCGAACAGAGCGTGTTGAATTAGTCGGATGAGAAACACGGTAATGATAGCTTTCGGCTTGAAATGCAACAGGCGTTCGCGTGACAAAGACGAAAACGTTAACAATCCTAATAGAGTAGAGGAACAAAGTGAAGAAATCAAGTGAGCGGGTCCCGTCGTCGTGTTAACTCGCGTTCCTTCGTCATCGTTTCGCCGTTCTCTGCCCACTTCGCGCGTTCGCGCTCGCGCGAGGATTTATGTCACGACGGTGGTACAATCGACCCCCGACGATGAAGTAATCGTACGTCCCGGCAATAAGGGAGCAAAAGTGGAGCAGAAACAGACGAGCGGGACGTTAGCGGTAACGAGCATTGATAGTGGCGCGAGTAAAGTTGGTTGGCACGTCGCCAAGCGAGCGAGCAACCAGTTCTCAACGGTTGGAAACTTCGGTTTCTCGAAGTGCCGCCGTTTTCTTCAGGACTGCTCCTGTCCTTACCTGCTCTCTTCTTCTTGCCGTCGTCTCTCGGCCTCCAATCGGGCCCTCTCTTGCTGCCTCTGCCTCTCCGCCAGCCGCCTGGCGTCGTCTCGCACTAAATAACTCGGAATCGGTCGGCTGTCCTGTATCCTTCTGTGCTCCTCCAAACGAGGGTCCTGATCGGGCGACCTCGCGGCTTCCGGCTGTCTCGTTCGTTCAACGGTTCGACCTCCACCCCAGCCGCGTTCCCTCAGCGTCTCCTGCCTCCGTCTCTCCTCTTGCACCCTCGCCGCTTCCAGACGCTTCCTTCCTTCCTCATACCTTCTGGACTGCTCCCTCCTCGCATCCTCCTCTCTTCTGGCCGCCTCCTTCCACCGTTCCTCTTGCAGCCTCCTCGCCTCTTCGTCCTGCTGTCGCCTGGCGAGTTCCTTCCGTCGCTCTTCCGCCTCGTACCTCTGCTGCCGTTCCCTCGCCAGTCGCCTCGCCTCCTGCCTCCTCCTGACTTCCTCCAGCGAGCTTCGCGGATCGATATTCGTCGGCGCCCATGGGCCGCGTCTTTTCGCCGCTGCTGGATCAAAGTGGCTGCTGCGTTGCCTGGCCTCCTCGATCAGTCTCCTCTTGTCGAACAATTCGCGAGCGATCGACTGATTGCTCTGCGGCGGCACGTTCAGCGGCCGTTTCCTCCTCAGGTAATCCTGAAGCCGAAGCTCATCATCCTGTTGTCGCCTGCGCTCCTCCTCTGTTTGTCCGCGATACTCGTCGTCGTTTCTGTCCGCGTTTGTTCGATTCACGTTGATAGGTCGATTCCGCGCTATGTATTCTCGCAGCTTCTGCTCTCGCCGTCTCTCTTCCTCTTGCGTGCGCCTCTCTCGGTCCCAGTCGCGTCGTTCCAGTTCATTCGGGTGTCCCGAGCGCATCAGGTTCGCCGGCATCTCGCTTTTCTTCGGATCCTGTTGTCGCCTCTTTTCGTCCTCTTGCCGTTGCCTCTCCTCCGACGACCATTGCCTGCGACGTTCCTCCTCCAGTCCTCTTCTCGCGTCTTCTTCGGATAGATTTCTCGCGGGACCTCTTTGACTCGTTCGCCTTCTCTCCTCTTCCTCTTTCCGTCGCTGCGCTTCTTGCTGCGATCTGTACTGTTCTTGTCTCCTCCTCCCTTCGTCCTGCGAGCGTCTCCGCTCTTCTTCCGTTCTTTTTCTCGCTTCTTCGTCGCTCACCGGTGTTGTAAATCCTGACCTTCTCGCGTTTTCCTCGTGCAGTCGTCGTCTTTGCTCTTCCTCTTCCCGCTTCCTATGCTCTTCTTCGTCCTGCATCCGATTGCGTGCCGCCTCTTGCTGTCTTCGTCGCTCCTCTAATTGCTGCCGTTGCGTCTCCTCGTCGTCCGCGCGTCGAGGTGCTGAGGTATCGTCTATCCGTCTGCGATACTCCTCGTACTGTTTCCTCCGCATCTCGTCCCTCCTTCTCTCCTCTTCCTCTTGCCATCTGCCCGGCGTCCTACGGTTACCCTGTTGCACTCGTCGCAACCGCTCTTCTTCCTCTCTTCGTCTCTGCTCCAGCATCCGCTCGTATTGCCGCCTGATATGCTCGACTTCGGAATTCGACTCGCGTTGTCGCTCGTCGCGTTTCCCTGGATCCTGGTGATATCGCATTTCGTGCTGCCTGCGACGCTCGTTGACGGTCTGCAGCTCGTCGCTGGACACGACGCCCTCGTCCTCGCCGAAGCCCCAATCGATTCGCCACTTCGCACGCTTCCGCTCGTCGCCCGCAAATCCCTCGGTATTTGCCTCGGCGAGCCACAGCAACCGTCGACCGCGACTGCTGCTATCATCATCCGACGAAACGGTCTTTCGCCTCGCGTTAGCTTCCTCGTGGTCTCTCATTGCGGCACTGTCCGACAGCTTCCGCGAGTTCCCCCGGCGGGCCCTCGATCTCGACGCGGTCTCGCCCAGATCTCCCCGGACCGGTAACTCGTCCGACCGACGGTCGTTCAGGTAGTGAGCATTGAGAACGGGATCGATGTCGCCTCTGTTCAATTTCCTCCTCTTCGCGGCGAGCTCCTCCATTTTCCAGATTCTGAACAACTCGTCCACCGCCTCGTAATTCTCCTCGTCCTCGACCTCGTCGACGGAAGCGTGCTCGAGATCCACTATCATGGACGACACGTTCAGCAACAGCCCGGCCGGCACATTCGCTTCCTCCTTGCCGGACGTATCTATCGATCTCTTCGTCTTGTGGGACCACGCGGCGAGGCCCTCGCATCCAACCTGTAGCTCCGGCACGCCGCCGACGCCGAAGGCGTCCCTGTTGACCGGCGTCTCGGTTCGTTGCTCCTCGAAGAAGTTCGATTGCCTGTGAAGGGTCTTCGGACTGATCGTTGACTTAATCGCCTCCGTCGTCTTCGTCTTCGTCGAGCTCACGCGTTCGACCTTCTTCGGGGCTTTGCTCTTGTTCCTTGCCGGCAGTCCCGCGGAGGGCGTGGTGGTGGTGGGCAACAGGGCCTTCTCTTTTGACAGGTCCAGCTTGTATATCTCCACCGAGCCCGGGCCTTGATCCTGGAACGTGTCGTCCGCTACAAAGGGATCGTCCGGCTCTGAAAGAGGCACCTCGCGCGGAAGCGTTTCCGGCATCCCGCCGTAATCGACTTTGTCGGCCGCGAATTCCGAGCCGCCGATTTTCAGCAGCCATGTCTGCCAGCTTGAAGCTAGGGAGTTTTGCTTTGACAAGGCGATGTCCTTCACGGGCTCTTCCGAGGGAGAATTTCGCTCGGCGTTGAGAGATGGGCCGGCTGGATCTGTGGGAAATGTGGGCGTAGTTCGGTTTCCTCCGATGGAAAATATAACGTAAATATTATGCGGCGAGGACAGAGAGGGTGACATTTTCACGGAATACACGTAATTTCATGATATATCAATTATTATTTTGCCGCGTACTCACGTACGTGGAACGGCGTACTGCGCCCCACGAGGCTATATAGGTGCAATCGAACGTGTAAGCAACGTCAGAGTTTCTTGAGAAATGATCTTTTCGATTCACGGTGAGTCGCACGCATGCACGTGCATGCATATGTCCGCGTCCCCGTCGCTACGAATATTGCGAATATCTAAGATCTTGAAGAACGCGGAACTTTTCCGAGATATGCGCAAGGTGAGTAATTGCAGCGCACAGGAAGTTATACGAACTTCGTATTGGATTTGAAAAATTCGAAGTCGACTCGATATCGATGCACGCGGTGATGCACGCGCGCGCGCGCGATATCGAAGGTAAATTGGCTACCACAGCTCGCGGAATCAGACGCTATTGAGCAAAATTTCTGTCTCATATAAATGAGAGATACATGCGGGGGGAGGGGGGGAGGATCGATATTAACAATTTTCACACACGAACGCGCGGCTTTCGTTCGAAGCCTCGATTTCAATTTAATCCACGGAACGAGATTCTTCTTCAAAAGATATTTAATAACGATCTCGTGCGCGCGCGACTAGAACTAATCTAGTCGCGCGCGCAAACTGGCGACGTGAGTAATGTGGACTTCAATTTATTGCCCCGAAATTCTTGCGTGCCCCGTTATAATGTATAAAGCAGTCACCGTTACCCGGGGAAATATAGAGATCTCCCATTATTGCGTGCCGTAAATAATAGTACCACCGCTACTACCATTCGTCGTCTCGCGTCAGCAAGTAAGAAACTCGGGAAAATTATTATTTTTGCTTAATCAACTGATTTCGCTAATAAGACCATCCGTTTGCTTCTTTCCAAATATTCTCTTCTCGCGGAAAATCGCGAGAGGAATAATATTCTCGCGAAATTTTATCTGCGTCGAAACAATGTAACGTGTCAACACGGATCTACAGAATTTCTGTTACATAGAGGACACAAATCGAATTTCGGATTTTATTATCGCGGTGCGAATGTGGCATGTTCAATTATAAAATGAAAGCGGCCGCGTTTGGGGCTGAATGCGTGTCGGAAATGCGATCTTTTATCAGTCGTGGGCGGTACTCGCTCGATATTGGAATTGCACGAAGACGACCGAGGAGACCTTGATTAATCAGGAAAGCCGGGGGAAAAGCCGGCGAACGGATTTCCACCGGTTAGGCCGAGCGACGCGCTTCGTCGCGACGCGCCTATTCCGTCTCCATTAGACGAGGCGGGCCGACAGAATTAAATCGCTGACGTAACTGAAGAACCGCTCGAACTAGAGCGCTGTGTACGTACCTCTAACGACCAGACCGAACCGCCACGTACAACAGATTATTTCTCCTTCTAAATTTTCGCCTCGTATCGACGTGTGCTCGCGTGCGTGTGCTTATTTGAGAAGATGGAGGGAGGGAGAGAGAGAGCAAGAGAGAGAGAGAGAGAGAGAGAGAGAGAGAGAGAGAGAGAGAGAGAGAGAGAGAGAGCAAGAGAAAGAGGAAACGAGGATCTGCGCAGTATTAAAGACACACATAATCAAGTCTTCGCGTCGAACCCTTCTCCATCAGTAGCGCGAGTAATCTCGTTTTTTCTGAAGATTGACAGGCACAATACGGTGATTTATTCGTCCGAGCGGGCGGATCAGACTTACCCTCCGAAATCGACCTTTGCGAGCCGATCCAAAGGTCGAGCGGTTGATCCTTGGCCTGATCGCGATCCCTCCAGTCGTCCTGGTCCTGTTGAACCTCGTGGCTGCTTGGGGACGCGGGGGAGTATTGATCGTGGGAGATGCGAAGGGGTCGCGGGGTGACTGCTCCTACCACACCCGCCGCCACCGCCAGCCAGACCGTGGCAAGAGCCACTGTCACCCCTGGCTGCATCCTTCTGCAATCAAACGGGTGTTCCTCGTTATTCCATCGCACTCCGGATCTCCGTAGTGAGTACCGACTTGGTTGGCTCGCATTACATTAGAACGAAGTCACCCTTTCATATATCCCTTAACCCTTCGCTGCACCTGCACGCCTCGTGATTCTCCGTCTCCACACAGTCGGAAAATGTATAGACGAGGGGATAAACATCTTTTGCATATATCGAAGTAATCTAAAATAATCGGGAAATCTATTTGGGCGCTTTTAATGTTTGAGAAATCACTCCTGATATTCTAACGTATTCATCTGACAAAAGCAACGCTCTCGAATTTGCAAAGTGTACATGTGTCTCACGGTTTATCTTGCATTCTCACGATAGAAACATTAAGCAGACCTAATTCCTCTGTTAGCCTTTGATCGCGACAGTCATACACTTTCTTTTCGTGTATGAAACACACAACAAGCGATCCTGTTTCAGTCATCTCGTATTTTAAAAACTTACATACGATATCGCCTGCAGCTCGAGAATTAGACACTCGCGTGCGAAGCTCTAAATGCACGGCTGTAATACGGACTGTTAGGTCACCAGCGAAATGAGCCCCCTAATTCAGGACATGTTCCGAGGACTCGGCTACCCGAGTCGGGCAAACTCGACGGCACTAACGCGCGTACAAGCACATACCAAACAGCATCACTCTCAGGTTCTACCGCGAAAAATAACGTATTCACTTTTATTCACTGTAACAAGCACCTAGCACGCGAATCCTTCTATCCCCAAAGGAAAAGCCAGCACGGCCGACTCTTTGAATCTCAGATACGACCTCTCGCACCCCGGTGTCTCTACCCTGGCATCCTTCAAAGGATGGATCCGTCGCTTTGCCGTGAAAGATGAAAGCGCGAGGCTGCCTATCGGCCGTGTGACTCTCGAACGATACTTCAAGTAGCTCTCTTTCCCCCTCCCTCCTTCTCTCTCTCTCTCTCTCTCTCTCTCTCTCTCTCTCTCTCTCTCTCCGTCTCTCACCTCTTTCGCTCTCCTCTCTTGCTCTCTCCTTTTCTCTCTCTGATTTTTGGATCCAGCTCCCTACTCGCGAATCTGCCGGCACTTTGCGAGCGACACTTGGAGCGCACCTCTCTCAACGAAGCGTAGCGAAAGGACGAGCGGACAGAGAGACGACGAGAGGCAGCAACGAGCAGAGAGTAGAGGACTCGGTATCAACGGCGGATCGAGTGATCTTGACACACTGCCCGCGTCAAGCCGAAGTGGCTAAACTTAATACCGCGGCGAAGGCGAGGAAGGCAGCTCGTAGCATCAACTCGCATGTACGATGCACCAATTGACTTCCGCCAACTGACGTCACGTTTCTCTCTTTTTCCTTCTCGCCCTCTCTCTCTCTCTCTCTCTCTCTCTCTCTCTCTCCCCCTCCCTCCCCCTCTCTCCCCCCTCTCTTTCTTCTCTCTTCGTTATCCCAGTCAAGTTGGCCGAAGGACCACCGGTAATTTCGAGCAATTGCTGCGGGCACGTCGGTGGCGGGTTTCTCCGTTATCCACGCGCGAATCCAACGTGACGTCATTCGCGCGAGGAATCGCGGGATTTTTCGATGGTGGTCCGCGCCGCGATTTTCTCCGTGATATAAAGTGGCGTTAAGCACGGAAAGTACATGACGGAAACTCTGCCGGTGGTTAGAGGCTGGAATTCACTTTACAGACTTCCTACTTTCTGCTGATAACCTATCGGTAACCCGCTGATAAGAAGCCCTGGCGATGATGATGCAGGTCTAAGCAGATCTCTCGCAGAAAAACAAACTGTCAACCGTGCGTGAGGAGTAGCCTTGAGTAACTCTGGCTTAATCACTCTCACTCGTATAGATATCATTTGAGGGCCAAAAGAAAAAAAAAAAGAAGTCGAGGAGTTTTGATCTCGGCACGAGCTGCGAAAGTTCTTTAATTAAACGTGAGAAAAGTAATCGTGTGCCAAGCACGATCCGCGCGAAACTTCTTTCGCTACGCGCGAGTGACAACGCGAGCCGCAACGATATTCTTCGGAAAGCGCTTCATAATCGAACTTAATGAGAAAAGATCACGAATATGTGCTCAGGTTTTATCATCGCTTCTGGCTAGTTAGCGCAGTTTATTCTTAGCTCCTCGTTCGGTGTCTGACGTCGAAAGGAAGCATGGTTGATTGGACACTGTATAATCGACTTTAATGCATCCACATCGTCAGGAAGTCAATTAGAGTAATCGAATTCCGTTTTTTCTCCCGTTCGACGTTCCAGCGACGTCGAGTGCGACACGGCTGCACGATGCAGGCGAGTAACGCGATTTTTCCTCTCGATACCGCGTTCCAAATCGTCGTGCACTATCGCATACCAGTCCGTGGAATTACGGGATTTTCTTTTCATCGCTCGCGATTGTACCGTATCTTAGCGGTAACGGCCGATTAAACCGAGCCAAGGCTCACGCGAGTACGCGCGCGCGCGCGGCTGAGAAAAGGACATACGATTTTAGCGCGAGTGAAGGCGCGGACGCGCGCGAACGAGAAAATATCTGTGCCGGTAAACGAGGATTTATTCGTCGCCGCGGGCGAACTCGCGATTTAGCGGCGAAATGAATTATTCGTCGTGTGATGCGAAACGCGTAATCGTAATATATTACCGTGTCGTATATCATCATTTTCGACAGTGGCGAAATAAAAACGGTAATCCGCCGATTATGCCCGGCGAATATGCAGATACGTATCTTTACATGTAACGGATATTCGTAGGGATTATCGTAAGGTAACGAGTCGGGAATGATGCCTGCCACGGAACGTCTTCTAATTGCTGAGTGTTGTAATGAACATGTAATGCTCGGTCGTGCGGCGGTCATGGAGTGGGGTGATTAATTAGTAATAGACTGTGCCTGTAATTAAATGATCGCGCAAACTCGTGTTCCGGGCGAGACCTGACGTTGTAAACTACAATTACGTTTAGCATGAAGTGGAATACATAGCGCGGCCCTGCCGAACTACTTCATTCGCATATGCGCATATTCATGCTCGGCCAATACCGCTCAACTTGTCTCATTGTGATATCCAGGCGAATATCCTCCAAAATCTACCGCGAAAAGAAGGTGAAAAAATTCGCGTACGTGAGATTTAATTTTGTCACATGGACCAGCGGCGGGGCCAGAAATTTTGCTCGACATTTCGCTGTATCTTAAGAAAGAGCTCGAGATGCGCTTGTAATTACATAATAAATTAGGCGCTACCTCCCCCTCCCTACGAGGACAATACTTGACTTTATCATGCAGTTACAAAATTATAAATGGCCACTTTTAGCGCTAAATATGGAACGTAAGCGCGCACTTAACTGACAAACAATTTATTTCCCCGAGCAAAACTAGCTCGCGGTGCTCTTGTGTTCGCATCTTTAATTACGGGGATGCTCGTGGCGTCGCGAACTTAATTGCACGAATTGTCCTAAACAAGGCACGGATTAAAGTTCCACCGATAGTCGGCGAGACGTGCGAGTTTCGTTCCCGCGTCTCCTTCCTTCTGCTCGCGGCTCTTCACCCCAATCTCACCCTCACTGCCTCTCTCTCTCTCTCTCTCTCTCTCTCTCTCTCTCTCGCTCTATTTCTCTTATTCGCCATATCTCCGTCTCTTTTCTATTCATCTCGCGCGGCCGGAGGCAACGGAGCGGGACACGACAGGATGAACTTTCCTTTCGCGTCTAACTCCGCGGAAGATCGTTACAGTCGCCTATTCGATCGCGAAACGCGGTCAGTGTTAGGAATGAAATTCGCAGCTCGATCCCGGAGAAGACGAGAACCATACATAAGTATCTGCGGCTACGATTTTTGGTTCAGCGTCGCGCTGAGATCGCCGCGAGTCGTTCGCAATCGACTTAATGAGATGTATACGTAGATACACGGAATGAATGCAAATGCTGTAGATATATATTTTTTCGTACATTTTTCGTATTTCCTCGTAATATGAAAATGAACCGCATTGTACTCTTCTGCCCCCGTTCTTCCCGCCGCGCCGGCACTGTCGCCCGCGTTCCTTTCATCCCTATTGTACTTGTAACCGTGATGTACAGAACGTCTCGGGGAACGTCTAACTGGGCGCTTTTACGTCCGCGGATTCTTTGGACAATTTGGAGTCGATTTTACTCTCCGTTTAATTTCAAGAGGAAACTTTAGCTCCATAATCCAAGACCCACTCACGGGAACTCTAGAGTCGGAATTTTTATTCCGCACTCACCTTGCAAGTTCTATCGTTCTTCAAGTTCGAAATGAAATTTGCGGAATTCATATCAGAGGCGGAATTTCGAGGCAGGTTTAATGTAATCGGAAATTGAAAACTCGCATCGCGCGTGAGCGATAATCTCCCTCGACAGTCTCGTCGCAGCGGGAGAGAGAATCGATTCTTCGACAATTGACAAAAGATTTGATAAATAAAAAGCATTTTTTGTTTTTCTTTTTCTCTATAAATCCGTGAAAATCGGATGCGCTGTTGCCTCGCTGGGAACCTCGTAGCTACAGCGGATAGCGGCGAATTCCGACTCGCCGATTTCGCCGGAAACGCGCGCGATTCGCGCGCGTCGCGAAACCGCTCTTCGTAAACCGTCGGAAAAACGATCGCCCGGGGATTTGGACGGGCGACGAGACAGCTGCGGGCGTTTATTATGCGGCGTGGAATCGGATTAGGATCGCGTTCGACAACGCGCCGCGCACGTATGTAGCTCGCGTTCGATCGTGGCCGATAATAGCCAGCCGCACACTGGATCTCTCCAGAACGGCCGCTAAAAACGACCTTTGCTCACCGTATATACACGCGTACCGCTCACCCCCCTCTCCCCGCTCTCTTTAGAGCGAGCGGTCCGCTATCGATCGCGCGCCGGTTTCGGCCTGACTTTTTGCAGATAACGTATTGAAATATTGGAGCTTTACGCGCGAGTCCCCGGCGAGCGCACGCGAATGCACGCTCGATGTACGCTCGGAGATGTCCACACGTGGTCGAGAGAAACGAGATTT